TAACTTGCTCATCCAGTTTTTCCTATTTCAATGTTTGGTTTTGGTTTTGGTTTTGAAGTTGCTCACAACAATTCTTCAAATTTCCAATTTTAGACAGATGAACTCCCAGACCAGCCGATTCTCGATTGAACTGGTTCAATCTGTCAAGAAAGATATGATGAAACAAAGTCAATTGCTAAATAGTGACTCCAAGTAAACAAGCTACCATTTGATTGTTAATTAGTACATTTGCTTCCATGAGAAAGATGAAAACTTGTCTGGACTAAACGATACTTTTATATTATCACAATACAATACTGTAATTCTTCTGGATGATAAAACAAAAAGTTTTACAATCAGTGTTCTATTTTAATCTCATTTTGTATCAATTTTTGCTATCTATCATTTGATTTCACTTTTTAGGAAGTAGAAAGCAAGTTGTACAAGGAACAACCAAAAGGAATCCAAACTATCAAATATTGATAGAAATATAATTGGAAAAAAATCAGCATTGAATGAATTTTTATTTTTGTAGCAAGAATTACCATCATGAAAATGACTATTACCTTATCTTAATCTCTTGAACATTTTTATCTGATATGGTGTATAACATCGTATAATTTTTGAGGTCAAATACCTTGTATAACATCATATAATTTTTATCCTATTCTAAATTTTGACATAAACAGAAATAGAAATGCCCATCCAAATAATTTTATAAGTGTGGAAACAAGGTTCCTACCTCGACTAAATGTTGCACATACACCAGACTGGGCAAGAGCAAAAACAATGTCTTGTGCAACAACGATCTCTATAATCTTTGATCTCTTCCTCATACATGGTAATACCATCAAGCAATGTCCTTTTGGATAATGAGTACCATATTTCTCTTGCATATTACACAACTTATCACCAAATTTAATAAGCAACCTCAATAAGAACAATAATACGTAGAGGGTAAACAAGTAACATATCACCCATTAACGTTCAAAACTTTTAGCTGATAGACTTCCAAGTAAATGAGAGGAAAGAGATGTCCTTCTGTATCTCCTACTCAATTAATATATTGCTAATGGAAATAAGCCATCAACAAAAGGTAAGCTGACTTAAATAGCAGCAATATAACATGTTTACCGGAACACCAGCAAATGGAAATAAAGCATCTAAATCTCAAAATAAGGCAAGGTATTCTCCTACATTTCTTAATCATTTCTCAAATAAAGCTTTATTAGCTATCATTCACGGAACTTTTCATTTAACGTCAGGAAGACACAAAAGTCCCATCGTTTCAAATGTTTTTCTTTTATAGTTAACAACATTAAAGATTTCAACCAAAAAAAGAAATAAAAAAGCAAAGTTTGAACAACGGAAGTACACGAGGCTTGCACCAGTACCTCATAAAGATGAAATTGAAAATTGTAGGTGCTCCTACCATTTCAGTTGTTTATTATAAACCAATGCAAAACTTGGAGTAGAAACTATTAAATGGATAATATGTATCAAATCAATTTTAACATTAAAGATGTAGAGCTAAGAGTTCCGCTGTTCTATAAATTCGTAACTAGGGCTAAAATGTTCAAATTTCTATCGCAATTTCGAAAAAGAAAAAGAAAAGGATGAGGCGTTAAGCTAAGGTTTGGACGAGTAAGATACCTCAACTAAATCTGTATATCATAATAAAGAAGAATTCTCGAGCAATTTGAACAACAAAAAATAAGAGGAAATGGAGAAAAAAAGAATAAAACTTAAAAATGTAGAAGGAAATTAGCGCAATGATAAAAAAGAATTAAAAGTTAGGGAAAAGTTAGGGCAAGTAAGTGAAAAAAAGAACCTGCAATCGGATGTTACAGAAGCGCTCCAGGGCATCGTTGATGGAGAAAGCACGGTGTGGCTTAGAGCAGATTTCTCTTCGATGAAGTTTCTTGACACTGTTAACGAACGCATCGGCTCTCCATTGAGAGAGAGCGTGAAGGCAAAAACAACATCGCTTGGGAGAAGAAGATATCGCAGAGGCAAACGGGAAAAGAAGGGTATTTTAGCCCTTATGAGACGGGAATAAAAGAATACCTAAAGGCTGTGGGGGAATAACATTCCCATGAATATTTACTGTTGGGAAAGAAATATTACCCTCACTTGGGAAGGAATACCCAACCAAACATGGGTATTTTTAGTCAGGAAAAAAATATTCCTACTAGGAATCTTAAAATCCTCCATCCAAACGCCTCCTAAATGTGATATTAGTCATAGATGTATGATTGCTTAATATTTGTATGGTGATTACCAAATAGGCACTAAGTGTGTAAGTCACGGAATTCATCATATGTTGATGAACAACTGTTTCGGCACTAAGTGTGTAATTCACATAATTCATCATATGTTGATGAACAACCGTTTCGGCACTAAGTGTGCAATTCACGGAATTCATCATATATTGATGAACAACCGTTTCGACACTAAGTGTGCAATTCACGGAATTCATCATATATTGATGAACAACCGTTTCTGCACTAAGTGTGCAATTCACAAAATTCATCATATGTTGACGAACAACTGTTTCGGCACAAAGTATGCATTTCACGGAATTCATCATATGTTGATGAACAACAGTTTCGGCACTAAGTGTGCAATTCACGTAATTCATCATATATTGATGAACAATCGTTTCGGCACTAAGTGTGCAATTCACGGAATTCATCATATGTTGATGAACAACCGTTTCGGCACTAAGTGTGCAATTCACGGAATTCATCATGTGTTGATGAACAACCATTTCGGCACTAAGTGTGTAATTCACAGAATTCATCATAAATTGATGAACAACTGTACAGGCACTATGTGTGCAACTCACGGAATTCATCATATGTTGATGAACAACCGTATATGCACTATGTGTGCAACCCACGAAATTCATCATAGGTTGATGAACGACTGTATAGGCACTACGTGTGTATCTTAATAAAATGATCATGACTAGAAAGTTGTTAAACTACCGTGATAGCACCAGAGGTACAAAATTATAGGGTTTATAATAAATTAAAAGAGTTAATTAATATTATGAATAATTATTATTGTAGAAAATGTTCGAAAATAAAAGACTAAATGCCAGTTGTGCATTTGGCAGAAAAATGCTAATAACGCAAATTAGAAGAAAGGTTAAATACCTTTACGATAAAAGACTAATGCCTAACAATGCATTTTGGCAGAAAGGTACCACTGATACAAGTTAGATGAAGAACAATGCATAATTGGCAAGAAAGGATGTCATAAATGAAAATATATGACAATGCATAATTGACATGAAAGGATGCCACAAATGAAAATACATAGCGGTATATTAATGGTATATAAGGTGTCACTCATGATAATTATAAAAGATAAAGTACCATTTGACACTTTGGTGCAATACATGTACAATACTTTATCATTTAACGTACATAGGACAAATAAAGAATAATTGGGAAAAATATATAGAAGGATATATATGTTGGGATTACCAAGAATAATTTCGATGATTGTAGGAAAGAAAAATCTGGTTTAACGGATGCCATAACTGAAATACATTAAATGATGCATTAAGGCATGAAAGGATACCATAACTAAAACGCATGAAATGATGCATTAAGGTATGAAAGGATGCCACAACTAAGATTAACGAATAATTACTAAAGAAAAATGAAAAAAAATATGTACAAGAAATAAATGTATGTTAAACCTACTAAGGATGTTTATGATAATAGTATGAAAGAAGTTTGATTTCAATAATAGGGACTTGTCAAATCCTTATAGATGATACGAACTAGTTTGAAATAACCATGATATGCTTAAGTATACATATTTGTTTCTTTACAATATTATGTCTCAATAAGTACATATTTAACGTGTGTTATTTCACGAGTAGGTAAAGACATAGATTAACTGAGTAAAGAGTGCAGCTGTAGTAGAGGTGACCATCAATTAAGGTTGGCTGCTCAGTGACATTAGGACAAACCAGTTTATTTTGGGAAACTTATTTGGCATGTAATTTAAGTACTAAAAATGCTCTAAATTTTAATTAAGTATAACTTGGTAACATATTATAATCAATGTTTTGTTTTATATTAAAAAAATTATTTTTTAATAATTCGATAAACACAATGTTACGGGTTTTCAAATGAGGAACTATTTAAAAAAATGATGTGACATCGATATCTCTTGTATGAAAAAATGTACGGGGATGGGTGTTACAACATATGAAAAATATGAATATATATTTATATATATGTTGTATATGGTTATAAAAAATCATTTAAATTGAAATTAAATAATATCATTGTATTATAAATATTTGTAATTAAATTTAAAAAAAAACTAAACAATTCGACTCAACTTGACTAAAAAATTTCTTTAGTCAACTTCGAGTTGTAAAATAGGGCTCGTCAACTCAAATAACTTCGATAATGCAATGACTATTTTATAACCTTTGAAAATTTAGTGACTACAACAATCATTTGATCATAGTTAAGTGATCTCTGGCGTATTTTACGCTAACAATCAACAGGTTAAACTATGGATGGGCATGGACCCGAACCCGACGGGTTTCGACCCGATCGGATTGGGTTTAAAAAAAAATCGGGTTCGGATCGAGTAAGGTTAGATTTTTTAAAGGTGATATTTGAGTCGGGTTGGATTCGGATTTAGGGTGAAAAATATCCGACTCAACCTGACCCGACCCAAAAAATATAATTTTATCTTATATATTTATGAATAATTATAATAATATCTATCTATATATTATTATTTTTAATTAAATCACTATTTTTATTGAATAAAAATAATTTTATTATTATTTTAAGTCAGGTCGAATCGAATTCGAATTTTATATCAAAAGATCGGATTGAGTTCAAGTCGAGTGAAGAGTATATATTTTTTGGATCAAATTGAGTTAGGTGAAAAATATAAAATTTTCGGATCGAATTGGATGAAACCCGCACTATGCCAATCCCTAGGTGAAACAGGTAGAATAAAAGGTATAAGTTCATTTATCAACTGATAAGCATTCGACTTTGGCAAGGGAAAGAGGGCGTGAAAGAAACGTCTTATCTCCTTCTACGGCGACGCCGTTACTCATACAAACTACACGCAAAGGAAAGGAAAATGGGTGATTCCAAGGTTGAAACGATCTCCAGATTAGCTCAATGGAAGATCGACAACTTCGGCCCTTGTTCTTACAAAAAATCCGACCCTTTCAAGGTCGGTCTTTGGAATTGGTACTTTTCATCTATTACCCAGATTTTTTTTATTTGTTGGAAATTGATTTTTGTTTGATAAATTTTGACTGGCAATGAAACAGGCACTTGTCTATAGAGAAGAATCGATATTTGTATATTCGTTTGTTTCCTGAGGCGTCTCGGGTGTCCAAGGAGCAGCCTCCTTACGCTAAATTCATACTTCGGATCTCTAATGTTGGTGTTAATCGTAGACTCTATATCTCCCCAGGTATGCCCCCCTGCTTTTGTTTATTTGGCTTATGGTTTTTTTGTATGTCTATATGGATGGTCAGCGGCTTTTAAATGTGGATTCAAGTTTAGAAGAAAGGTAGAAACTGAAGATCAAGTGAAGGGTTTTGCTTGGAAATTCAATGGATAAGTTGCTGGATGAATTAATGACGGAGAAAAAGGACGAGGTTTTTTGAATTTGAAGTTTTGAACACAATATATTATCTCTGGTTCTATATTTAAAGCAAGTTGGGGATTTCGAATTCGAGTTTTATCATCTAAAACATTTGACATTGTTTTTCTTTTTTGTGTGTCTCTTGGAGTTCTTTGTCATAGATAGTGTTCTTAGAATGGAATTGATATTTGAAATGGGGTCGTGATTCTTGATTTTGAGCAGTGTTTATTTCTAGTTTAGATTGAAGAGATGGAAAAAATAAGCACTCGCCTTTTCTTGCACAGTACTTTTACCTTGTCCGTGTGAGAAAAATGGGGAAGAAGAAGCATATGATAAGTCGTAGCTGGTTACCTACTGATGCAAGAATGAAGGGAATTCTGGATCTATCTATTATTAAATTTTCAAATTGGGTCCATATTCTGGCATAAATCTTGTTGTGTCCATACTTGTCAAGAGAATTTACTTTGGAATTGGGTAATCACGATTGTTTGGGTAGTCACAAGTAATGTTTATTATGAGTGCCTTTGATCTCTTGAACTTTTCTCAATGGACTTCAAAACTGCTTTCTCAATAGGGCTTTTATGCATGTTTTGTCTGTTGAGCAGCTCTTAGAATATGCACTTGACACTAATTTGTCTACTTGGTTCCACAGTTCATGATAGACAGCTGCGAACATCTGACGATTTTTTTTGGCCTGTTGATTCTACATTCAATGGGCGCTTCGTCATTGATGTTGAGTTCCTGGACCTAAGGATCTGCCCTATAAATGTGAGCTCCTTTAGATTTTCATTAGTGTAGTTTGCTAGCAGGGTCACTAAATAAGTTCCCTTGTCATATGTCGGATAGATTTCTTGTTTTCTTAACCCTTTACATTTCAAAACCCAGGGTGGTGAATCCATTTCCATATGGCCCGTTGATGGAACATTGCAATCTCTGTCAACTCAAAGCACCCTGCGCTGCCTTGCTCGCATGCTTGATGAAGATCTTCATTCAGATGTTACAATCCAGACTTCCGATGGTACTCTAAGAGCACACAAGGCAATTTTATCTGCAAGTTCACCTGTTTTCGAGATCATATTCCATCACAACCTTAAGGAAAAGGCGTCATCCACAATCCATATAGAGGACATGTCATTGGAATCCTGCTCGGCCCTTCTCAGTTACTTGTATGGAACGATAAAGCAAGAAGACTTTTGGAAGCATCGGCTGGCATTACTGGGGGCAGCAAATAAGTATGAAATTGTAGATTTAAAAGATGCTTGCGAGGAGAGCCTGTTAGAAGACATCAACTCACAGAATGTCCTCAAGAGGCTGCAGGAGGCTTGGCTTTGCCAATTAACCAAGCTGAAGAAAGGGTGCATGACGTACTTGTTTGATTTTGCCAAGATTTATGATGTTAGAGAAGAAATCAATTACTTTTTCAGGCAGGCAGACCGAGAACTGATGCTGGATATGTTTCAAGAAGTGTTGACGGTTTGGAAACCGGTATGACTTTCCTTTTGGAGTCTTTATTTTACCTTTCGGTTGCTGGTGATCGGACAAATATGTGGGAGTCCTGATGGTATAGTTTGTTGTATATTAATAAAATCCGATGTTTTGTTTTCAAATATCCATATATATGCCTGCATGGTTAAGGTATTTTCATGCCCGGAACTGGTAGCTTGATGTGTGTGTAGGTCCGTATAGTAATTGATACAAAAACTTCATTTGTATTTAAGTAATGTAAGCTTGGGTTGTTTCAGTGTCATCTGTATGTACTTTCGTGTGCAGTTTGACAATGTATGATTTACTTCCCACTTTAGCTGTTTGTCGTTTTTATAAGGCTTATGTCGTGGAGAGTGACGCTGCTAATACCGTTGGCCAGTTGGTTAATCGCCATTTCATCTCGATGAGATCTTTCGGTTGCTGCGATGAGGTCTGTTGATTGCTGCATAACAACCTTCACATACGGGTTCATTCTGTCTGGCATATTGCCAATACCGCTGTTCATGCTCTTGCTCATTTGTCTATGTCACTCGTCGTTTGCCTATGATTGTTTTGAATGCATATTCGATATTCTACTCAGTGATGTCATTTCCAACTAATGCAATGCAACTAAAACCAAATCAGTTCATATTTTGAGCCTTGGGTGTAGAAAGCTTGTTTTGGGTAATTGAATTATAAATCAGTTAATATAATACAAGACAAAGATCTTTACAGCAGGGCAAGAAATTAAAAACATTGGCTTCTATGTTCTAAGGCCAAAATTTTCCTATCAGCTCTCCGGTTCGGGTTGCTGATAGAGAGAAACAATAATGATACACAAAAACTATAAAGGCAGTGTACAGTCTCCATTGTTATACAAAGGCATGTATGTAGAGACCAACTTGCATCTGTGTGGGATTAATACAGTTTCTGCTGAATCTTCTTGCTTCTCCTCCTGTGCCAACGCCAATCTTAAAAAATGTATCTTCCATTTTTAATAAGAAACTTATCCTTGACAATCATACTATTTAGTTGTCTATAATCCACACAAAATCTTCAAGTGCCATCCTTCTTTTTAATAAGAAGGTAGAGAGAGGCAAAGGGACTCCTGCTAGATTGAATAATAGAAGAAGAGAGTATAATAGCTATTTGTTTTTCAACCTCAGCCTTCTAATTATAAGGGAATCTGTAAGGCCTTAAATTAACAGGTGTGTCATTAGGTTCAAGTGGAATTGCATGGTCATGAGACCTCTTGGGAGGTAGACCATCAGATTCAGCAAAAATTGTGTTGTATTTATCCAGTACATGTTGGAGTTCAATAGGAATAGAAGAAGAATGCCCTGTCATTGTCAATAGGACAATATGGCCCATAAGATCAGAATTCCCTGCACTCATTTTAAGTAATGTAGCCCCTGAGATTTGGTGCAGTTCAGTTGAGAGCTGCTGTCCCTGAATACAAATCTGCTGCCCTCCATGGTCAAAACTTAAAGTCATTATTAAAGTCCATTAATATTGGACTAAATAACTTCATCCAATCCACTCCTAAAACCATATCACTTCCCCCTAATTTAAGCAATATAAAATCATGCAAAAAAGTATGTCATTGCATTTGCAACTCTACTTTATTGCACCTAGCAGTGCTGAATAGTTGTTCGCCATTAGCCACAGTGATGGCCAAAGGATAGGGGGTAGTAATCTGAATGCCAGCATCAACCCATTTAGGGGTCAAGAAACTGTGTACTGCCACTATCAATTAGAATATTCAAGGTTTGCTTGAATATTGCCCTTGTTAAGTTAATCGATCGATGGGATCGGCCAAGAGGGGGTGAATTGGTAATTAAAATTTTGGTGGAAGCTTTTGCAGAAAATTGAAAAGATTTGCACATCGATTTATAGTGATTCGACTTTCTCAATCAAAGTCTACGTCCACTACCTTAGCTATCCACACTAAGGATTTTCCAACAAATTCACTAATTTGTTCTTTCTTTTGAGGCCAAAGAGATAACCTTACAACACCCTCAAGAATTATACCTCAATTCTTGAGCACACTCTTTTTCAAAGAGAAATACACAAATTCGCAAACTTACAAGGAAAACCTCACAAGGTAGATTGTTTGCACAATTCTAAAACAAGATAAGAACACTCAAAGATAAATACAATTGAGCACAAATTGTGTTCTTGAAAGCAAAATGAATATTAAAAGGAAATTTGGCTTGAATTGCACAAACTTGATGTTTGATGCTTTCTCTCTTGTTTCTCTATGATTTCTTCTTTCTTGTTATTGATAAATGGCTTCTAGACTTGTTTAAATACTCCTTCAAATGATTCTGAACGTTGGGGATGCTTAGTGGAGTCAATAGAGCCGTTTAAGTGTGAAAACAATTAATTAAAGCAGTTGGGAGCGTCAGTGCATCGATGCATAGCCATGGTGCATCGATGTAAAATTCAAATATTTTGACCGTTGGACCCTTAGTGCATCGGTGCACTAAGTGTGCATCGATACATAAAATGCATTCGATGTTTCAAAATAGCCAGAGTGCATCGATGCATGGCTTGTGCATCGATGCATCAAATGCACTGAGTGCATCGATGCATGGTATGTGCATCGATGCATAAAATGCATTCGATGTTCATTTTAATTCATGGTGCATCGATGCATGGATTGGTGCATCGGTGCATCACTTTGAAAATTTGATTTTTGGCTTGATTTTGGTTCAAAATACTTTGTGAATATTGTTTCAAAAATAGTTTAAGTATAAAACACAATTTTACACTTTTAGTAAGGTTTGAAAATGATCTTGAAAGACTTGGATTAATAATTTGATATTCGATTAATTAAATCAAATATTCTTAGAAAATCATTTGTAAAATCTTAAAATTCATTTAAACTTAATTTGTTATATCGAAACATCAAAATGTTTTCAACAAACTCCCCCTTTTTTGATATAACAAAACATTTGTGTTATTTTAAGATTTTCTAAAATTTTGAAATCAATTTTGAAAAATTACTCCCCCATACTATAACACTTCTCTTCTCCCCATTTTTGTTAAATCAAAAAGACTTTAAAACTTTGTGAAAAAAAGTTTTGAAAATCATAGCCAATTGATTATAAGTAAATGTAGCTTAAGCTGCTAAGATCGCAATCAAAAGAGAGATTAGCCATTAGTTCCATAATCAATATTCATAATCAAATGTGAAATGGCACAATTGGTCATATATGTCTAATATGTAAATGATGCAAAAATAAACATTAAGCTCATAATGAAAATTCAACCCAAACCAAATATATATAAAGTTCAAAATCCAATCATCCAAATTATAACAAATTCAAGCATCTAACAATCCAAAACAAACAATCCAGAAACATCAAAACAATCCAAGTTTGAAATAACAAAGAAAGCATGGAGAAAATGTCTAATCCATCGGAGGGTCGGGAGGAGGAGGATAATGAGCTTGGACTTCAAGAGTGAGCGCGTCCATAATGCATCTCCCGCTGAAACTCAGTAATCTGAGACTCCATGGAAGTAAACCTCATATCAAACGACTCCAAGAAAGATCGAAAATATGTTGGCATTTGATCTTCTTATCGTGCTGGTTCCGGTGCAGGCTCATCGTCTGGTACGTGATCGTCGATATCTTGCATAAGCTGTTGAAACTCAGGATTATCGTCAGCAGCCGGTGCCGGAGGAGGAGCACAGGAAGAGCTAGGAGCAGCTCGTGAAGAACTAGCTCACGGAGTTTGCTTACCGGGTCGATAGACCCAAAGACTGATTTCCTCGTCTTGTTTCCAATCCGCTTTCTTCAAGGAAGTAAGATTGATTTGATTTTGGAGAGGGATAGGATTGTCGAGAGAGATATTTAGACCAAGTTTGATAAAGAGGTTACTAAGAAGACATCCATAAATCAATGTTTCAACATGTTTTGAAGGAACAATGTTTATGATGTCCACTAGTTGACTGAATATAATGTGAGGGTTATTTTGATCTTATTTTGAATACAATACATCCACCATAAATCCCTAACACGAAGTGTGGAGTACCTACCTCCGGATGGTCTAAACCACCAAGAGATCATCAAATGGAGAAAACGATCGTGATGAGATCGTAGAGTACTAACACTGGAGTTTGGAACATATGTATATTCCATATTTTCACTCTCATTATATATCCCACTATCATCTAACCCGAATCAGAAAGCTATAGTCTCAGGGTCAATATTAATATATTGGCCTAAAAGATAGGATCTAATGGCTATAGTTCCACATTGAGTTTCGTTTTGAATACACACCGCGTTGTAATAGAAAATGCGGACCAATTGTTGCTAGACGATAGGTTTGAGATGAAACAATTTATCAAACTTACAAGTTTTAAGAATCGGAAGGTATTCAAAGTCCATATCTATCATGGCTTGAAGAGAAGGAATACACTATTCACAGATTCTATAAGTTTGGAAAGAATTTCTATACCTAGAGTACAATTCATCTCTACGATGCTCAGGCATGTTAAAACAAGATCCTAATAGGCTATTAGGAGGATGAGGAACGGGATTAGGAGGTTGGTTTGAACGAGAACGACTCGAAGAAGTTCTAGGGCATTTGGGATTAGACATGGTTTAGGAATCGAAATAAGAAATATAACCTGCAAATTTAAACACATGTATGCAATTTAATCAATCCCAAAACTCAATTGAGTCCGCAATAATTCAAGGTTCTCTAGACTGAATCCTAATGGACAAGGTTTTGAAAAACTATTTGAAAATTATTTTCGTAAAACCAAAATATTTATAGTTTTCATGAAAACAACATAATAAATCAAAAACATCAAATTTAAAAATTAAATTCAAATTTTGATTTTTTTTATTTCAAAAATTTAAAAATTTCTTTGAAAATTTGTGAGTTTTTGATGAAATTGGTTGTAAATTCTAGTTTGTAATCATTAAACAATCAATGCCTGATAAAATGTTCATCCTAGAACTAATTAAAACTAGTCCTAAGATTACAATATGATAAAATAGAGGTTTTTATAAAAATACATTGAAAATTTTGGATTTGAGAGGAATGAGATGTTGTGTTGCACGTTTTAATGATAGTAGCAGGATAAAAAGTTGAAAATCTCGAAGATTCCGATAAATTTTTGTTGATTTGAGATAAATAGAGAGTTAAGAGAGAGAAGGGGACAAGCGGTTGTATGAAGAGAGAGAAGGGTTTTGAGATAATGAAGGAAAATCAAGGTTTTTAACCAAAAACCCGACGGATGCATCGATGCATGGCCTTGTGCATCGAT